AAAGAATACGTACCACGATGTAAGTGCAGTTTGATGAGCAGTAATCTGTGTCACAGACACATTTGACAAATCCTGCATCGTCCACATAACACGTATTATGCGCCTGAAGTGAGATCTTTTAGTAATTGATGTAGTGTTTTGTTAGCTACCAGTGCATGCACTGAAGAATTGCGCAGGTTTTTCCGATGAAGCATGAAGTACTTAAGTAGCTTCAACGAGTGAGTAAGAATGAGTTGTGCATGTAGCTGATTCTATGAGCCACTCAAAGAGGCGCAAATGGACATATGATACATTTTCTGAATTTTTTTAGCTTCCAAAGAATTGAAACATATACGCAAATACAGGAGAACATCAATTTGCTTGTAAAGTATTTACCTGGTTAAAGAATGTGAAAGTGGTCATACATGAGTGCGCGATTATTTTTGTCAGACACGGAGCATCCAGCATGAAAGCGCACTGTGGGTGTAGTTCCGGACCCTGTAACATTTAACAGATTTAGTTCTTTCTGAGAGTTCATAGATGAAGTACTGACAACGTCGGATACTCTGTAGGGCGTGGTCAGCAGGTGCCACTTCCAGCATTTGAGTGCTTCAGATGGTTCCAGCGCAGCAAGTGCAATGAACGCGACAATAGCATAGCGACAATAGACAACTGAATCAGGGCATCATCTACAATTCAAGAGTTGCGGAATAGACGAATGTAGCTGTTTTGCAGTTGCAAAGGAAAAGGCAGCAAAAGGAAGGTTTCAGTTTCAATGATGTTATATCTTGAAAAAGCACTCGGTAGCGTCTCGTCTATCAACAGCGCAGCGTAGCTTACATGATTTGCTTAGGTAAGCTCTAATTACACCTGTTTTGTCCTCCGAAAAAGTCCTTTGCTGAATACGAGCGATAAAACACTCACAGCGAAACATTCCACCGTCTTTCGAGTCGTTCTTCATTAACTGAAAAATGCTTCCACGTTCGCTACCCCAAAATCCTTTATCACTTTGAGACTACACCATTCCAAGTGACTGCCAATGCATGCGGTTAATTTTTTTATTTTATAATTACACTCAAGGTGCATCAAAAGACAAAAACAGAAGGTTACCTGCAGCAACACAATACAGGACCCGCTTTCCCAGCCACAGGGCGAACAAAGCTAAAGATGCGGCACAAGACACGAAGCTAGACCCATCAAGCCAAGTAAAAG